GCAAATACGTGTGTGTGGTTGACCCCTAAAACAAGAAATTGGCCCTTTAATCTCAACTGCAAGTCCAAAATAATCAGATTTTACTGATTTAAAGTCAATGAATGGATCAAAAGGATGCTGAAAAAGCAAACAACTACAGCAAAGGTCACATGTAAACTTCACGTCTTCAGAGCGTCCGGAGGAACCAGACTACCAGAGGATCAGGACGTACATAAAGTATAGTAGTGTTTGTCCTCTGTGGTTCCAGTGTCTCTTCCTGTTGTGGTGCATGGCTCCGATGTCGTGGAACGGCTCCCAGATCATCTACAACAAAGTGGTTCGGCCCGTCTTCCTGCGCCACGAGGCCACGGTGGACAATATGGTGAGCAACCTCGGCGGGAAGGTCATGAGCACCGCGGAGAACCTCACCAGAGAAGGTATGGACCGGTTCAACGGCAGCAGTTACGCACCAGTATGAAACATGTTCTGATTCTGAATCTTCCTTCCTTTGTGCTCTCCAGTCCTGACCACTCTGATGAAGAATAAATCTCTGGTGACTCAGGTGCAACCGGTCGGTCAGTCTGAACCGAAGAGTTTACCGAGTTCATCGGGAGAAACATCAGCAGCTAAAGTAGCTCCGTCAGAGCCGAGCGAAGACCGAGCAGTACGTACACTACACCTGTGCCCCGCTTCCAATCTTTATGCTAAGCTAAGCTAACCATGACTCCAGCTCAGTATCATACCAGCTCTCTACCGCTGACTCTTCAACCCCTCTGTGCTCATAGAAGTAGAGCTCGTAGATGTGCAGCACCTGCCGGGTTCAGGTCTGTTTTCAGCTGGACAGAGATTGTTGGCTGATTTGTTTGTCCAGCCAGCGTAAAATATCTCAACATACTGCTGACCAGGTTTTACATTGATCAATACATTAAATGTATTGATCAGAGGAAGCCCACTTGAAACAGGAAGCAGAGAGCTGTTTGCTTCCTCATATTTACGTGTTTCCCATAATAACAGGCAGTTAAAGGTCCTCATAGCGGACTCTGCTGGACCGGGACCTCCCAGTGAAAAGCCCCCGATAAAGTTGTGTTTTTGTTTGAGCGTTAGCTGTCAGTTAGTATGTTTGCTAGATAGATCGCAGACATGTATTACATTGCTGTTTATTTAAGAAATTTATTTGTACCATCAACTTTTACCAGTCTACTGTTAGAAGTTGTTGTTGTTAAGGTGGTTTTCTGTTAGTCGATGGGGCTCATTTAGATTTCAGAGTTCATCAAAGTTCAACAACAACAAAACAAATGTACTTTACACTGATTTAAAGTTTCTCTGGTTGTTGCAGTTTGATTCATAGATAAATCTGCATATTCAGTTATGACCTGTAAACATGCTAACAGTTGTCCTGTTACCTGTTCCAGCCTTTCCTGGGTTAACCAGTACGGTAAGTCTGCTGGTGTTGGTGTTTTACACACAGTGAATGTGGTGTGAACAGGAATAGCACAAACCTCAGTGACCCCTGTAGAACCTCAGCAGTGCTGGGCTGCAGATGGACTGGATCCTGCTTGAAGTCCTGAACAGACCTGAAAAAGCTTCTCCAACCCTGCAGCTCTTGAGTAGACGAGTAGTAGCAACACTCACCTCCGACTGCTGTTTCTACAAATCTGTCTGTTTTTTCAAAAAGAAATATAATTTTTTATATAGTGAAGAACGGGAGACCCAGTATAGACTCTTGTTCTCATTTATTACACTTTCATACACCCATTTATTTACACTTTCATACATATGTATTACATCTTTGTACACATTTATTAGCAGCCTTTCATAGCATATGTATATACACCTTTCCGTAAACACCATTTATCTAACAGCTTTCAATACCATATGTATTACTACTTTTCATCACAGCATTTTAGTTACACTTTAATACATAATTTATTAGCAACTTTCATAGCGCATTTATTACACTTTCATACACATTTAATTAGCACTTTCAAATAATATTCGTAATACACCTCTTCCCCATAACCACATTTTTACCACCTTTCATATCACTTTCATACACATTTATTACACTTTCATACACATATTTATTACACTTTCATACATATTTATGTGAATAATGTCCTAGTGAGGATCTGTGTTTCCACTGACGTTAAATAACTCACAGACATTCAGCTTCCTCTGTAGTTGACTGAGATGTGCTGTTGTTGTGATGTGATTATAAACTTAAAGGAAGGTAGTATAGTTACAGTAGAGCTGTGAAGGAGTTTTTACTTGTGTTTAATTGTTGGCTGTGTGTCTATTGTTATGTCTGTACGTCAGGATGAGCTCAGTGTAGACTGACGGTAAGTCACAAACAGAGGATGTAATTTACTATCACATAAAGCACAGCTTGTTGTGTTGTGACCTCTTTGACTCTCCGTACTTTGTGATAAGAAATAAAACGTACCGACGAGAATGTCTTATGTAGATACAGCGGTGCTTTGACTAACGTCGGCATGCTAACATGCTAATGCTGATCTTTAACCGGTAGAATGTTTACTTCTTAATTTGCAGCTGGAATATTAATTGATTTATAAAGATATTAATGTATTCATTTTGGCAGCTTTGGTCTTCCATACAAAGATTTCCTAAACTGTTCCCTGTGTGAGTTGGTGCTAATTACAGAGAAAATGTTAAAAAATCTCCATTTGAACTAAAGTAAATATACATTAATTCTTATTATTGGACATTTTATGGTATTTGTTGAATAAATTTCACTCTTACTTTTTCAGCTGACTGCTGTGCACTAAAATACTAATAATTAGATGTCTTATAAGGATATATTTGTTTCAGTCCTACAGATAGCAACAGAGGAAGAGGAGGAGCCTCAGTGAGGAAGAGGAGGGGCCTCATTCAGGAAGAGGAGGAGTCTCAGTGAGGAAGAGGAGGAGTCTCAGTGAGGAAGAGGAGCAGAGAGTGAAGGTTTTCCTCTTCGTCCTTACAGCGAGCAGAAGACCTTCTGTCAAAGACACTGATTTCCTTTATACATCAGTTTGTATTAAATATAAAACTCGGATTTTACGTTTTATTTATTTATATTTATGAATTATTTTGGGCGTCAGAGGGATTTTTTTTGGATGCGAATCACCTGAAACTGGATAATAACAACCTCACAGATTCTCCAGCCGGTTCACCTGTGGAGCAGCGCCACCTAGAGGAACGAGCAGTAACAGCAACGTGTCAGTGTCGCCTCCTGCAGGCAGTGAGTGGTACAGCTGCACTTTCTCTCTTTTATATTTGTGTTTTAGGTTTTCTATGTAACATCTGCAGCAGCAGCTGGTTTCCGGTGTGTCCTCCTGTTTGTGTTGCTCTTATTTATCTAATATATATGTTTTTGATGTGTTTATAAACATAAATGAGATTATGACCTTTATGATAAGAAATAAAAAGTACTGATGACAATGAAACTAAATGCTCGACTGTTCTGTTGTATGTAGATACTGCGGGGCTTTGAGCTACATGCTAAATGCCAACTGACTGACTTTCAATCTTAAACTCATAACGTTAGCTCTCTGTCTCGCTGAGGCATTTTATACATACAGTTTATATATATAAGTTTACATGTAACACTGCCTTCAGTGGATTTCTGATCCTCTTCCTCTCTGTGGTTGATTCATTTCCATACATTCAATATATACAGTATTTACATATTTGGATTTATATTTAAATTTAATATCAGTCTGTCAACTATTATAAATGTTACCGTTGTTAATATTATTTATGTAGCCATACATAACATACAGCGTAATATATAGTCAATACATCCCCATCTATCCAGCATCTGTGTTTGGACAATATGGCTTTTTATTACTTAATATAATTATGTTTTTATAAAATATGTATATCTTTGAACCAAAATATAGATAGACTAATATTTCTATTATATTTCTAAATTCATGTAGTATATGTAAATACTGAAACATTTACTGACATATGTAGGCTACTATATCATGCACTATGCATTATGTAAAACAATTACAGGAAAATAAATAAACGTTAAAATATGTATATTTTACCATAGTATATAACAATATGTAGAAAATAGAAAATAAAACATGCAATGCAATATATATATTACAGTGTATAACAGCAATGCAATAAATAGTATTTCACATGAATCAGAGTAAAGTATGATATCATATGTATAAGTATTATAGTATATATACTATTAGGCTATATATAAATGTACTAAGTAATAGTATATCATTTGTGTCCATATCTCTTCATATTAAATATTAAAAGGTTCTGGGGTTGAATGAGGATCATTACAGCAATAAGAACTATTATTGGTACAACTTCATCCAAAGTGAAGGTTTGAATATATTTGATTCTTTAATCAGGCACAAACCAACTTATCATCTCTTTATTTTAAAATCATCAAATTAAGTACAGAAGTAAAAGTGTGTTAATCTCTGTATTCTCTCTTTTAATATCTGCACTTTACAAACTAACTACTGTAAAGTAAAAGAAAGTCAGTTTGTTGATTTTAACGTCTCTTTAGTTTTAATTTACAGAAGAATCTTTCAAAACAAAACAAATAACTCATATTAATGAAAACTGACATTAATCATGTTTAACAATCACAAATTCTCTGTAGACGACATTAATTAACATTTTAGTAAAATATTATATTCACAACATGAGTTAGCTTCCTTTTACACATTTATAGATTTTAAAACCTTTTTGACAACGATTGAAAACTTAAAACTAAAATAATTAGCAAACACTATTATTTTTCTTTTTGTGTGTTTTTCTTATATTATTAACTTTAATTTTAATGTAATGATATAAAATATACCGTATACATTCAAATCTTTATAATGAACTGTTTTGTGTGTTTTCTTAATAAAGTTAATTCAAATAAAAAAAAGAATCCACTGAGTCTGCGGATGACGTTCCATGAGAGCGTGGCCTCCGTGCGTCAACTGTCACGCACTGACGTGGCAGGTAACGCGATGACGTGTCCTGCAGTACGTCAGTCTTCAGCAGCTCTGCTCCGGTTCGTTTCCAGCAGCGTCCGGTACTTTTGGTCCGGTTCAGGTGTTCGGGATCGGGTCTGGAGGTTCTCCTGAAGAGGACTGAACGCAGGTGAGCCGCTGTGATGGATCCTGGCTCCTTCACACTAAATGCCGAACTCCGTCTAACAGTTAATAAAGTGAAACTGTAACTGCTTCTGTGCGAATATTAAACGTTGTTGAGTCTTTACCGAAGCTGTTTTATGGATCTTTACACCTTTCTGTTGAATTCGGCTCAGAAATATTTCACCGGGCTGAAACAGATTTCCACCAGCAGACCCGTTTAGCTACCGTTAGCACTGCTGTCCCGGACGGTACCGGAGAGAAACCGGTACCTAAAACACTGAAGTTCTAGTAGTTGAACATTTATTTATATCTATATATATATTATGTTATTTGTTTAAACCCGGTATTTGTAGAGTAAGTAAGTGCAGTCTGTATACATTCATCGACATCATTTAATTCAATATAAAGTTTAACAGCAGTCTGGTGTGATGTAGAGCTGCAGGCTGATCATTTGTACAGTGAATACATCATAAATCAATAATAATAAATCAATAAAACCTCATTTACTCATTAAACAGAACCAGCTGGTCCACAATGAACATTGGTTCTAAAAACAAGAAGCGAGTGGTTCTGCCGAGCCGTCCTGAACCCCCGACTGTGGACCAGATCCTGGAGGACATCAACAGAACCGCTCCCAACGACCCGGTGTTCAGCATCCTGGAGCGGACCGGACAAGGTGCATTTAGTAGTAGTTTACTGACTGTTTGTCCT